TGAATTCGAATCTGAAGTCAAAATAAAAAGAACCAAAATGGCCGATCCAATGTGGCCCCTAAAATCTTAAACACAATAATTTTGTTAAAAATAATAATAAGAATGGCTTAGTTTTATATTATTTAAGAGTTATTGGGGTCGGCAAATTCGAATCTGAAATCAAAATAACTAAAAACAACATGACGCCTGAAATTAATAGAAATATGTTGAGTTTGAAAAATATTTAACAAATTCACGTAAAATCGAGTTATATTTGGTTTTTTAAGTTTGTATTTAAAATTCTTAAATAAAATGCTATTGCTAAATATAAAATAATCATGTTGGCGTGTATCTTACATGAAATTGGTCGAAAAAAAATTTATTTAAAAAATCATTTTCAGAAAAACTTTCAATATTGTATGGTACCAAATCGTGTCTTAAACAAAAGGTCGGGCACTGCCCTGTCGAAGAAGACACCATTTGACAAAATTGAGCATACCATTTTTACTTTTCAGACCTCCGCGTCAACTAACACTTTCACACTGATCATACAAAGGGACCTGTCTTGGACATATTTCGATAGCTGAAACATCATTTTAGCCAATCCAATAGAATAAAACTCCAAAATCGATACTTTATTTTTGGACTTATGTGCACGAATTTAAGACAAAGTATCACTGTGCGGTGCCGCTTTCCAATTTTGTTTGGGAAACAACAACACCACAGATTTTACGCTTAGAAAATATCTCAAAAGGAGGTCTACATTTTGGAACGAACTGTAAGCATATCATACCATCAGAAAACAAACAAGTATATTTGCTTACAATGAAGTCGAACAAATAATTAAATACAATTAAAGTAATCGAAAATAGTCAAAATTAATCACCAAATTAAATCAATTATTTATTTTAATTATTTTTGATTACCGTTGATTGTTTTTTTAATTAAAAATAATCATGATTGTTTTTTGATTATTTCTAATTAAAATCGATTACTAATTTCTCCGTTATAAACACTAATTGAATTAATCATTACGATTACCCAACCGATGCAATCGTTTTGATTAGCAATCGTAATCCAATGTTAACAGGTCTGCATGGAACAAACAAAAGTTGCCGTTCCTGTTCGCAGCATATAACAGAGAATATTGTTTTGAGTTTTATCTTCAGTTGAGATTTCTGCATTATCATCAGTGTTGCCAGAACTTTTTGGACGAACCGGCTAAATTGGCAAATAAAACCGGCTAAAAACGGCTAAAATGTTTCAACTAAATTTCACATGTTTTATTTAAATAAGTCATGAGTAAAAAGACTATTTCTTGGAGAGAAGTTACGAATTCGAGCCGGAAAAAATTTTGCCAGCAAGAATTTGCAATTAGGAAAAACATATGATTGTGGCACATGGTTGGAGTTTTTTCGACGATAATTTGAATACACAAGATCGTTAAATTTAAAAATTTACAAACTGGAGCTATTTTAAAATGAAAAATTTAAGTTAATACTTGTTTACTTAATTAATTTAGTTAACTCCAATGATTTGAAAGGTACTCGGAAGAAAAACAAAACTGTATTCTTAATCGCAATGCAATCTCAACTAGAGTCGATATAGTAAACCGGACAAAGAAATTGAAACGTATGTTGAAGAAAGTCGGGGTGACAAGATATATACACGTAGATCCTGTTTTTTGCCCCTCTGAAAGAATTTTAAAAATTCTATACAAATTTCTTTTGTTTGAAATACAACCGTGGACACTAGCTGGCAAAAAGCTTGCAAATTTGCGTTCGTACAGAAAATTGCAAGTTTCTCTACATGAGAGAGAATTTGGGAGCATTTTTTCTTACTATCTGATATTTTGAGTGATAATTCTCGCTGGATTTTCGACGAACAAACCTATTGTCTTCCCTACAAGGCCTTTTCAGACTGACCGATTCTCAATACACTCAAATAGAAACCAATACACATAAAAAACGCTGTAAAAATTTCCCTTAAATTTTAAGGCAGTAAAACAACGACCTTTAGTTAACATCAACCGAGGCCATATGTTGACAAGGGATGCAAAATCACAGTTACACAAAAGAACCGGTCAGATTTTTCAGAATTCCCTTCAATTCTGATGTAAAATATGATGCCAAAAGACTGCAGATTTCCCATTTAGATGACCGGTCATATGACCGGCAGCTGTCTCGTAGGATTCCCAGAGAGTTTTGATTTGCATAGAAATTTGTGCTCTTTTATTTTCATTTTGACTCACTTCAGTGTTGGTTCCTTTAATTCAAGTTGGCATTCGGTTTTTGGAAATTAAATAATTTCTCAGCAAAAAAGTTTGTTTAAAAAAATACATACATATGTGTACATAGTGCTTGAAAATATCAAATTTTTCCTTACGTTAAACCTTTGGGAGTGGGCAAAAATGATGTTTTGTAATTTAGGCAGATTCGGTTTTTGGAAATTAAATAATTTCTCAGCAAAAAAGTTTGTTTAAAAAAATACATATGTGTACATAGTGCTTGAAAATATCAAATTTTTCCTTACGTTAAACCTTTGGGAGTGGGCAAAAATGATGTTTTGTAATTTAGGCAGAATCGAATATGCGCTATCTGGGAAGACAATATCTAAATGTAATATTTATTCGGTTTGTTGGCACTATATCCAAACACAAACGGATCTTAAGTGTCTTAACAGTGATACAATTTCTTATTTTCTAAGTTTGCGAATAAAAGTTCACACTTAAAATTAAGACATTTATACCAAACATTTTATGAAGAAAATCCCTTCTTCGTTCAAAATAAAAATTACCAAAATCGGCCCAATTTCATACAACCCTGCCTGACATGAAAATTTTCTCCACCATAAGGCTTTTAGCCATTTCTAACAGATTTTGGGTCGCTTTGTCAAAAATGGAAACATATGTACATATTTGAAATTTAAGAAAACAAGGCAAATAGCAAAATCGGCTAAAAACGGCTAAATTTTCTGCAAAACGGCTAACAAATCGGCTGCCGGCTAAATCGAAATTTCTCCGGCTGTTTGCTATCGCAACCGGCGAAACCTAGCCAGAAAACGACTAAAATGGCAACACTTATTATCATCACTTGCTTCACTAAATCCGAATGTGGATTTCGTTTACGAAGACAAAGCGAACATGTGGTATGAAATAGTGATGTAAAAATATGTATAATTATTTTACCTACTCTCAGACTTCTAAATTTGAACGTATACTCGGTACAAGCAGGTGGGATGCATTGCTCAATAAAAAGGTGAAGTAATAAAACAGCTTCCCTCTTTTTTTCTAACATTCGGCATTGACATTCAAATTTTATAGAGAAATTTTCAAATAAGGCAGTGTCAAAATCTTTCTTCTCACTCTAACACCAGGCGCACTTTGCATCCGATAGGCCGACCGATTTCGGCCGAACAATTTGGCCGTCCGAACTGATGCGCACACTTAACCATTTTTCGCAGTCCATTTTGGTTCTTTTCACCTGACATCGGACGAGAAAAACAAACATGTTTGAATTTATCGTCACTGACGGACGTCAACGGCCGATGTCGGTTCGGTTATCAGTTTATGTGTGAGAGCGCTCAAATAATCACAAGTGTTTATTCATATCGCATATAGCCGATATCGGCCGAGCAGAATTCGGCCGATGCCGGCTGCAGTGTGCGCGTAGCGTAATATTACTTCACCTGGTATAACTCCGCCATGGGTGGGGTGCAATAACACCATACGGAATAATTCCAATTACTTGGTCATTAAAAAATAGTTTCAGAAGTGAACAATGGCATTTTATTATTACTATTTTTTCTAAACGGTTATAAAGCCACCAAGCATTACCGCACACAAGGGGTGGGTTTTGGGGTTCAAACCCCCCCTAAAGCTAATAACCTCAAATACAATCTGTATCTTAAAGCTAAGAATCCAGCTCTCAAGGAAATTATAAGAAATATTTATTATAATTTCTGTTGCTTGAAAAAGCGCTTTGTTTTTGCTGTAAATTTTCATGAGGGAATAAATATACGAGCATTTTTTTTTTTGAGAGATGCAAACTGATTTAAGAAATTTTGGTAAAAGAAAATTTCTTTTCCATTTCTCGTCCGTCGTTTTATATGAATTTTTCATTTTTCTTGAGAGTTCAGTTAATTTTTTCGGTATTTGAAATATTAAAAAAATTTAGCAATCGTGAAAAATCACCATCTCTATCGAAAATCAGAAATCGAAAAAATGAACATAGAAGTGCAAAATTTCATGGAATCAATAAATTTATTTTTACTGACTCTTTTTTAAAATTTTTTATTAGGTACTTTTGAAAGTTGAGCACATCTTGAGTTTATAGAACTTTTTATTAAGCAAGTAGTTTTTAAGGAAAGAACACAACCGACTTCAATTCTCATATTCAAATTTAGGGGTACCGTTAATTTCTTCATGATCCAATCATCGGATCTCTAAAACAAATTACGAGACGAACCTTGAGGTACTATCTTTCTAATAAAAAAAGGATTATTGAAAACGGTTCACGTGGTCCAAAGTTATGTATTCCGGCGAGATGATAACCTCCCTTTTTTTTGAAGTCGGTTAAAAGCGTTTGAGTTCTGTTAATCTGTAAATAAAGTGCCTTTTATGAATTTTAAAACGTTTATTTTTTTATTACATGCTGTACATAAAACTTGCATAAATGTATATTAAAGAGGGTATTATCTGAAGCAAATTTTCAGTATTTTCCGGTGATATATCTTCAGAAATATAAAACCCCCCCTATATATTCCTGGGTGCGCCCCTGCCACCAAGGCATAATTGCGAAAGGAGGAGAGTGGGCGGAAAACGCGAGCGCGACGTCGAACGCGGCGCGGCGCGCGAACGCGGACTGCCGCGACACTGGGCACTTTCAAAATTGTATACTTGTCCACCACATGATGTCTGTTGACTCGCACATTAACATAATCAGATTTATGGATTGAGTTCAAATCATTGCTTACTCACACACATAGATACATACATGCATCACATAGTTCTCGTCACCCACCCAATGAAACCGCTGTTGCTTCGTGATTGTTTGCATGTCACCCGTCATGTGCTATCGCTGCCAATGCTGACGCGACATTTTGCGAAAGCAAAAATATGAAATCACTCAAAACCTACCTTAAATCAGATATTCTTCAAAATCAAAATCAAAATATATGATTAACAAATGTTTTTGTATTAAAATATTTTTTTTCAGAGTTCTTTTTAATTAAATTTTTCATTAAACATTTTAACTTCAATTTTATTCAAATTTTTATTTAAGTACAGTAAAACCCGCTTAAGCACCTCACGAAAAATTTCAGCTTTTTGAGGTACTTAGGCGGGTTGGGTACTTAAAAGAACCCGCTTAAGTACCTCGATGCGGGTACTTAAGAAAACATAATTACTCATGTAGTTACATCTTCTTGTTAACTTACATAAATACTTGAATAATAACATTTAATGAAGAATACATTGTTTAAAACCAAAGTCGTAGCATAATTTAAACACATAAACAAGTAAAGAAAAACCCTATTAAAAAAATATTTAGTGCAATGGTCTGTTATTTTTACAAGAATTAAAATGTTTAAAAAGTCAGGGTTGGACATATCATTTTGTACCATATTCAAATGATATTGCTTGTCACTTATGTTTATTTATTAATTCTTAAGGTTTTTCGATAAATTAAAATGCAATTCATTCCCTAACAAATACCATATAAACCTAAGCTTAAGATTTTGTAGAACACTTAAAAAAAAATCATCATAATTTCAAACTTTTTTCTCAGAAGTGTTTTTTGAGTATACAGTTTTATAGTATGTACATTCAATTTTAGTGCAATAATGTGCAAGTTTCAAGTGGTTAAAAGT